GATATGTGTTTGTCCCGGGAGTTTTTGGTGGGGAACCTCTGTGGCAGACATTCACAAGGGGCCATGTAATAGCATGTGAAACCTGAGGACAAATCTTTGTGTTTCACAGGATCATGTTCTCATTGAACTTACCCAAGCTGGCTTGAAAGGCTCCACAGAGGGAAGTGAGAGCTATGAAGAAGACCCTTACCTGGTAGTTAACCCTAACTACTTGCTTGAAGATTGAGATACTGAAAATAACTGACAGGAGCTAGTGAACTGTGGAAAAGGACCTCATGTCTTGGAGTCTGGATGTAGCTCTGCCGGAGAATCTGTTTTTTATTTTGTTTCATTTTCAATTTGTATTTCTTTTATTCATCAAAATAAAGTAACTCGGGCTGGGGATTTAGCTCAGTGGTGCTGCTGCTTGGCTTGCAAGCACAAGGACCCGAGTTCAATCCCCGGTACCAAAAAACAAAAACAAAATAAAGTAACTTGTCCTAAAGTCTGTTTGATTTATTTCTCTTCTACTCTGATTATTGCATCATTGGGTGGAGGGTTGTTTGTTCTTGAGATAGGGTCTTACTATGTTTCAGGCTGGCCTTAAACCTACTACTAGTAGCCTGAAGTGGCCTCAAATTCACTAAAATCCTCCTGCCTCAGCCTCCTGAGTACTAGAATTACAGGCCTGCACCACCACACACCCAACACCCTTCTACTTGTGAATGAGTTCCTTTTTGCCTAATCCAGTATGTAAAGATGGAAGTATAGCGCAAGGATTTAGAATTAGGTTCCTATGATGAAGCGTCAGTTAAAATGAAATGAGAGGGCTTGGAGGTGACTTTCCAAGTTAATTTCAGTGTCTTTTTTAAGGTAGCTTATGTAGTTTATTGTGCTTTTTTGTTACTCTTTAATAGTTTCTTTTACTTTTGTGTCCTAAGAGTAATTGCTCAGAATTATTTTCAAATTGCCTTTTTAAGAAAAATAGGTCATTTTTTATGTTGCAAGCTATCTGCAAGTTTAAGAATTAAGAATAGTATAAGGAAAAAATCGTGTCCAGTAATTTAAATTTAACAAGTCATATTAATGAAATTAAAGACTTAAATATTACAGAATTTTACCCAATCGCATACTCTTAAAATTCAAGCATTACCTTTTTTCAAGTTACATTTTCAAGCATTTCATGTTATGTGCCAGCAAGCAACTTTTATAACTTCCTCCAGAAAAAAAAAAAAAAAAATTGCTGTTTTTTACACTAACAGTTCTGAGGCTTAGCTGTAATCGGTAAGTTCATTATGTAACCTTATTGTTGTAGCTTTTGGGGGTCTGCAAGGCTATTAGAAAGAAATTGTTTCTATGTCATTGAGCTCACAAATAGTAATTTTTTAAAAATATGAGAAAATGTATAAATGGAATTAAAGTGTTTGAAGGTGGGGAGGGGAGGAGGGGGTGAAGGGAGGGTGGTGACAAAGGGAAAAAATGAGAACCAAGACCTGGCATGTAAAGGTACAAGATCCCAAAAATGAATGTAACTGTACTACCTAGAATGTACCAATAAATTCAATTTAAAAAATAGTAATTTAAGCCACGGGCAGCAGGCTATAGTCTGAGCTACTCAGGAGGCTCTGAGCCCAGGAGTTGAAGGGAATGAAACAAGAAAATAAAAATACTGATTTCTTCTGGCTAGGGGCAGGGATGGGGCTGGAAATGGATAGAGAAAATACACAGATACAGGATATAAGTTCTCATCTCTTATGTTCATAAGAAATGCCTTAACACTGATGAGGATGTCCCAGGGTATGGGATCTTAAAATGCCAGCATGTAGATAGAAGTATATTACAAAAGCGAGGCAGGATGTTACAATGTAAACCCAAGAGATGGCAAGAAAGCCCTCCGACTACAGGAACTTGAACATTAATTTGACCAAATATTTACCCAAAGGAAAAGTTTAAGCCCAGGGAGAATGCCTGCTTTTTGATGAGTTCATCCTTTTTCCACATCCTGCCATTACTGAGAGTGGAGTCTTACAGAGCAAGGCAAGGTCCAGGCTGCCTAAGTGTCCATTTTGCACATCTGAATGTGTGTACTTCATATCCACCCCTATTTGTGGTACTTGGAGAGGTGATGTGGTTAGGATAATGGAACACAGAAACCGGAGAGATGAGTGAGCAGCTCGTCTCCATTCATAAACACTGCACCATACTAACGATTATGCAGGTTTAAGCTTAGGAGATGAGGAACCCCAAGGTGGCAGACCAGGGACACTGGTGAGAGACTGGGAGGCACCGAGGCTGAGCGATGTCTGACCCTTTGCTCTTCATTTGCCTTGTTGCCTGTTGCCTGTTGCCTGTTTCTGCTGCTACCACCCCTGGGATCTTCAATAGATGTAGCTACTTGCCGTGTGGGGTGGTGCACAACTAATCCCAGCACATCAGGCTGAAGCAAGAGGATCACTGCAAATTCAAGGCCAGCCTGAACTACATAGTGAGGCTGTCTCAAAAAACAAAAAAGTAGCCACTTGACTACATACAATAAAATATACACTTGGAAGTTCTTGTCATATGTAAGAACCTGGATTCTCTTTGGCCCACTCAACACATGTATGAAATTTGATAAAGAAAATTAGACAGTTGTATACGTAGTATTCCAGAATGTAGAATGTTGTAGTTATCAACTCTAAAAACCCAGGCAGGGGATTTAGCTCAGCGGTTTGGTGGCCTGCCTTGCAAGCGCAAGGACCCGAGTTCAATCCCCGGTACCAAAAAAAAAAAAAAACAACAACAACAATAAAAAAATCCCGGTAGAGAGGGCTGGGGATTCAGGGGTTCCACTGCCTGCCTTGCAAGCACAATGTCCCAAGTTTGATCCCTGGTACCCCCCCCAAAAAAATCCCAATAGATACCCATCAATAAGGAAATTACTATGTAGTTGTGACAGCTATATTGTGGAAAAAATACATATATATAATGAGATGTTCTAAATTGGGATTATCTCCATGATAAATGGAAATATGCAGATATAGCCAATAAGATTCTGGGACAAGCATGACATAAGTATGGTCTTACTAGAAGAAGGCAAGTACTATGCAGGTACAGAAATGAAAATATTTGTGATATTGTTAAGAAATACTTAAAGTCCAGAAATATCTACATTTCTGAGCAGCATTTGAAATAGTGTGTAATGACCTATTCAATAACATGTTAGAAATTGGGCTGCCACACAATATATGCAGTTAATATTCAGAATGGGTTACTGATAGAAGATTTAAAAATAGACATAAGTAGGTTTAACAAGGGATATTTTTTAATGTATATATTGGAAGATATAAAGCCAGATTAAAAGATTGGAAAATTGTATTTATTTTTGTCAGTACTGGGGATTGAACCCAGGGTCTTCACATTGATCTACATCCCCAACCCACCTCCCTGTGTGTGTGTGTGTGTGTGTGTGTGTGTGTGCGTGCGTGCGTGCGTGCGTGCGTGCGTGCTTGCAGTACCAGGGATCAAACTCAGGACCCACTGAGCTAAATCCCCAGCCCGCCCCCCTTTTCTTGAGACGGTCTATGTAGTTGAGACTGACCTGGAACTCACTGTGTAGCCCAGGCTGGTCTCAAACTCACAGTGATCCTTCTGCCTCGGCCTCCTCAGTGCTGGGATTAGAGGCGTGAGCCACCACTCCCAGTTTTTTTTGTTTTGTTTAGACACGATCTCTCATTACTTGCCCAGACTGGGTGGTATTTTTGATTCTCTGGTCTTAGCCTCCTAGAGTGCGGATGGAATTCTATGCATGTACCAGCACACCCATCTGGGGAATTTTTTTCTGCATGTTCTAATAAGTGATATCCAAACTCTTAGGAGTTTTCATATGAGTAATAAAATAATGAGAAATGGTATAACATGAATTTTTTTAATGGCCGTTGGGCACTGTGGCGTGTGGCTACAGACCCGGCTACCCAGAAGAAAAGCAGAAGAATCACTTGAGCCCAGTAGTTTGAGGAACACAAGAGTCTCTTAGGAGAAAAACAAAAACTACGAGATAATGTTTCAATTCTTCAGCACACCTGTAATCCCAGCCCTTGAAGGCTGAGGCAGAAAGATTGTGGTGAATTTAAGACCAGCATGGGGTACATGGTGAATTCAAGGCCAGCCTAAACTACATAGGGGACCCTGTCTTAAACAAAAAGCTGAGGAACAGTATTTACATATGGCATGATCCATGATGTACATACTTTAAATGTTCTGCACATATTTGTTTGCATTTGTATATAAGTATCTGGGTTGCATTATTCTAAACATGTTACTTTTTTTTTTTTTTTTTTTTTTTTTTTTTTTTTTGTTTGTTTTTTTTTTTTTTTTTTTGGTACCAGGGATCGAACTCGGGTCCTTGCGCTTGCGAGGCAGGCAGCAGAATCACTGAGCTAAATCCCTGGCCCTAAACATGTTACATTTAATACCCACAACCTGTCACTAATCATCTTCATGTTACAGGTGAAGAAATAGGTACAAGAAGTTATTTTCAACAGATGACATTTCAGCCCTGGCATTCTGACTGCTAAATAACCATCAAACTTTGGAGAAAAATGTGCTCGATTTGGCAGCACACATAGTAAGCTTTGTGGAAAAAGCTGGAAAATGAACAGTATTGGAAGTGTTTATCCAAGAAAAGGCAAGGGAGTGGGCAGAGGAGTTTGCAAGGTCTCATGGATGTTTCTATGTTGTTTGAATCTCTCACGTGTTCATTATTCACATATTTTCAAAGGGAAAAGGTTAATGAAGGACTCATTTTTGCTGTATTATGTCAAACTATTTTAAAGTATTTAGTAAAATAAAAAGTGGAAATTTTTTTTCAGACATTTTCCAGGTTCCTCTCCCAGGTGAAAGTTTAAGGTTTTTTTGTTTTACCTCTTGTGGCCTTTATATTTTTAAATATTACATTGGTGAGCCATGTACTGATTACATTATCATAAATAACCCAGTTAAACATTGTATTAATAATCATTTAATATTTTACAACCTTAGCTGTAGTTATAAAACCAGGATTTCTTCCAGATAGCTCCTGAGAGCCCCTTGAAAATGGAGCCATCTTGGAAAGTGCTCCTTATTATTCTCCTGAGTTTTTCATGCCAGTGGTCAGACTGGGAATCTGATAGAAATTTCATTTCAGCGGCTAGTCCTCTAACCAGTGACTTACTGCACAGCCTGAGCCAACTGCTGGGAAACCAGAGTTCTCATTTTGTAGCTGGGTACACGGACATTTATTCTTGCCACCAGCCACTGCCCTCTTTCCTGCTAGTCTTCATAACAGTAAGATCACCCACTGTAAAGTATTTCTGTCATGGGTACAACTTCTCCCATCAGGAAGCTCCAGGAATCCAGATGGAAAAACGCTGCAGTGCTACCGACAACTCCTTGAGGCCCTCAAGACTGCGGCATCAGCCCATGGTCATCTTGCATCACCCGACCCTCCCCACGAGTACTCTCCAGAGAAGTGAAGACTTTGTTGACCTCTTTGCGGACTACGCCACATTTGCCTTCTACTCCTTTGGGGACCTAGTTGGGATCTGGTTGACCTTTAGTGACTTAAAGGGGACGATGGGTCTTTCTCACAAGCAATCAAGAGCTCCTCATCTCCAAACCCTCACTGGCACCCACAGAAAAGTCTGAGATTTACCATGCAAAATGTGCCTCTCAGGGTAAGTACTGCCCCCGCTGGAGGACCCACTGTCAGCCTTTATCCTCCACCTGCCCTATCACTTTACAGCAGGACTTGGCATTTCTTCCCCTCCTTTTGAATAGATTGCTCACAACTGTATAGTAATGAAAGGTAATATTGTATTGTTTTCCCACTGGCGATAGGAAGGGGTGGGTCGTATTGCATAATATCCAGTGCATTATTTCCTTTGAAAAATACATTTTAATCTCCCTGCCCAGACTTGCCGCCTCTGAATATTTGTCTTCCTTCCCTTCCCAGGGAGCCCTGCCTCCCCTAGGACTTCAGGAATAGCCCATGTTTCTCCCCCAACCCTCCTTTAACCTGAAGAACAACTTATACATTCTGACTGGAGCTTACATTCTAGCAGGAGAGACAGACAAACACAAGATAAAATTAATGTCAGGTATTTTTTTTCTTCCACTGATAGAGATTAAACCCAGGATCTCATGCATGCTGTGTAGCCACTGAACTACAACCATATCTCTGAGAAGACTCTAATTTTAATTGTTCATATTTCTGTTTTATAGGTAACTTCAAGTTCTAATTCAGTGGGTTTAGGCAGAACCAGGATATTTATCATTTTAATAAAATCCCTAAGTGGATGTTGGGTATAGCAGTCTTGTTTGTTTTTGAGACAGGGTCTCATTGTGTAGTTAAGGCTCGCCTTGAACTCACTACGTAGCCTAGGTTAGCCTCATACTTCAGGGATCCTCCTGCCTCAGCCACCCAAATGCTGGACCTGGCAGATGTACCAATTTTAAGAACCTGTTTAGGACTATATGTGCTTTCTTATTTTTAGTATGCTCTATAAATGCATTATTAATATATTCATGCTTGTATCTTTAAAACAACATTTTATGAGTGTATTATTAAAAATCTGGGCCAGAGATTTAGCTCAGTGGTTATGTCACCTGTCCTCATAAGCTCAAGGTCCCAAATTTGATCCCCCATATCAAAAAAAATTTTTTTCGAGGCCGGTGTGGTGGCATATGCCTGTAATCCCAGCACTCAGGAGGCTGAGGCAGGAGGATCACTGTGAGTTCAAGACCAGCCTGGGCTACATAGTGAGTTCCAGGTCAGTCTCAACTACATAGTGAGACTCTGTCTCAAAAACAACAAAAAAAAATTTTTTTCTTTGACTTTGACTTTGGTGGAGGTGGTTTGGGGAATCAAACCCAGGGCCTCACATATGCTAGGCAAGTGCTTTGACACTGAGCCACATCCTGGGCCTTTAAAAACTCTGAAAATGTGATTTTCAGTTGTCTTATAAGTTCCCATCATTGAATAGATCATAAGATTTAAAAATTTTTTTTTCTTTCTGTTTTTGTTTTCACAGTGCTAAGGACTAAACTAGGGCCATGCTAGTCAAGCAACCTACTGCTCAGCTTCTCATATATATAAATTTATTCTAATTTTCACTATTACAGATTATGTTGCATTGAATATTCTTATACGTAAATTCTTGGACACCTTCTGATAAATCCCTTTCTATAGTTTTTTAGGATTGAAGTTTGTGATTGAAAAGATCTTCATTCTTTGAGACTTTAAAGCATGATGGTTTCCACCACCTGCCTTGCAAGCACAAGGACCCGAGTTCAATCCCCATTACCAAAAAAAAAGCATGGTGGTAAATTATACCAACACTTTTAAAATTGTCTTCTGACCCCATTCTGCCAGTTTTAAATGATAAAATTATTTTTATCAGCTGGGCATGGTGGCGCACACCACCATACTGGGAGTACCATCCCAGTACTCTGGAGGTTGAGGCAGGAGGATTGACACAAGTTTGAGGCCAGTCTGGGCTACATAGTGAGTTCAAGGCCAGCCTGAACTGCAAAGCAGGACGCTGTCTCAAAAAGAAACAACAATGACAAGAAAAGACAAAAGCAAAAAGTTATTTTTGTCATTACAAACTTGGCAGCCAAAACAGTTTTAAGATGGGCCCTAAGCTGACAGTTTATCTGGCTGAAATACCCAGCTACACAGGCTTCGAGAGTTTCAGGATTAAGCCTAGACCCTTTTCTGTATGGCCCAGAAATAATGAAGGGCAGTTTCACTCTGGAAGGGTTCTAGGAAAGAGAAACTCACCATTCTGGAGGTTTTGTCTTGAAATCCAGCAGCCAGAGGAGGGAAGTGCCTTGAGTTAAATATTGTTGAGAACTGTGTTATTTCTCAGGGTCATGGGCAGGGGCAGTGGAGAAGGGACATAAGTGTCTTCAAGAACTAAATCTTAACCATCTCAGGTGTAGAAGGACAATTAAGATCAGGAGATTTTCCAGAATGGTTCTGCAATCCTTAGAAAAACACATCTCTAGAGACAAAGGCTGTGACCCACTTCAACTGCACTGCCGATGACGGAGAATTAAACCAATAATCAAAGAACCTGAATGGCTGCTTTTTGCCTCTTGAAAGAGAATGAAAGTGTTCTGACTATATTGTTAAGGGCTTTTCTTTTTTAAATAAATTATTTTGAATCTATAATATCTAATTTATGACTTAAATACCTTACAGGCTCTTGAACAGTACCCTGATCTTGTAGAAACATTCCCAAAGCCATGTCTTACCTTTTGTTAACATACAAACTGAAATGGTGCTCTGTAGGTAGGCACTTAGAAGTGCTTATTTGAGCTTCTGGAATGCAGTCTGGGAACTATGTTTTCAGGTTAAAATGTGGCTGTCTTTTGGGTCTTTCTATAGGCTTATAGGTGGGTCACACAACCTCACTATGTCCTGCTAGCTAAAGGTGACAAAAGTCTGTAATTTCTAGAAATCTCTTTAGTGTCTTGGGCTGAGGAGAAGAAGGAATCGGTTTAAATTCCTTCCCCCAGTCTTTGGGTTCCCTTAGATATAATAAGACCTAAGTATTTTACCTCAAGGCTGTAAAGTTGTGCCTCAGACCTAGAAACATTATAACCTCTGTTAGGAAATTCAGCAGAACACAGGTGTCTTCCCTAGAAAGCTCTTCTGAGGTGGTACATAACACTATACCATCTCCATATTGCAAGACTGACTTGGGAAAAACTATAGTTTCCTTTTATCAAATCAGGATCTAGGGCTGTCCTCATCTCTTTCTGATAAAAAGTTGACAATTTAAAATAACTGAAGGGCTTAATTCTCATGTTTCTTAGACCTTTAAGAATACATGCCTGAAAATCTCTTCTATTTTAATCTCCTATCTGAATGGCAGGCCAGTAAGGGTCTTGTATAGGAGCTATTTGTGTTCCAGTAAAAACTAGTTATTCCCCTGGCTGCCCATTTTTTTGAGCTCCAAAATTAAGATAATATTTGTCTCTAAATGTAATACTACTTGTCTTTCATTAAAAACCAATATCTGATTTAAGAACAATATTACATCTATCTAATCAAGACCATAGGTCTGAGTAAGTTCTCTAAAGGCCTCAGTGTACATATCAGGGTCATCCAAAAACTTTATTAGGTCTCATTTAATCTCTTAGATCACTGAGAAAATGACACGTGAACACAGATGGTCCCATATTTTCCATTTACTTCCTGCAAGGGATATTGTCTTTGAGGGGCCTGAACAGCTTAGTTAAGGGTGGATATAGGTTCATGGAGGTTTTAATTATGGCTGGCCTAGATACTCCATCCTCAGCATCTGCTGGTCAAGATTTAAAGTTGTTTTAGAAACTTTGTTCTCAGGTTCTAAAGGGTGAGAAATAGCCTCAGGCTTAGAGATACTGAATGTTTTAAGGATGAGGTATCTCATTATATTTACACTTGAACACAAGCAAGAATTACTTCCTTTGTTTGTTTGCTTTGTTTTTTGAGACTGGGTCTCACTGTGTAGTGGATACTGACCTGGAACTCACTGTAGCCCAGGCTGGTCTCGAACTCACAGCAATCCTCCTGTCTCAGCCTCCCGAGTGCAAGAATTACTTCTTAATGTAAAGAAAATTTCAACATAAAGATGATTTTGACCATTTTCTCTCTTACAGTATGATTCTAATTGTGAGATAGCATCATAGTACTTTCCTCTGTGTACCTGGCTTTAGGCGGTAGGCACACCACATGAGGGTATAGAGAAATTCTAAACTGCTCCTTGATACATTCCAAAGGAGTACAAGGCTCAGATTTGGAGTTCCTAATCTGAAACAAGAGAAACAAATACGGCATCCCATCAGTCTGTGCTTGATTCCTGCCCTTAAAGGCATCTCTCAAGGTTTATTCCACTCCAGAGTAGGTAGCTACAGTCTTGAGAGACCCAGAAAATAAAACCAGCCTGGACTTTCTACCCTTTACCAGCACACGATCTTTATCTTCCTCAGGTAACTTATGTCTTTATCCAGTAAGAACTCTCAAAGCCCTAGTTACAGTTGACTTTAGCTATAACAATCATGTCTAGAGTATTGCTAGCAAACGAAGAGATTCAAACCACTGCTTTCTAGTTCTCTGAGACAGAAGCGGGACCAGAAAGTGGGTTGGCCCCAAAATAAAAATTTTCAAAAGGGTTGGGGATGTAGCTCAGTATGAAGGTCCTGGGTTCAATTTCCAGTACTGCCCCCCAAATCAATAGGCACAACTTCATTAATCTTTGAGGACGTGGTAAACCACAAGAAGGGACTAGAAGCATAGCTCAGTGGTTTACTGACCCCTTACTTTGATCCCTGGAAGTGTAAAACTGAATAACACACACATTATCACATCATACCTATTAAGACACCTGTTATCAAAACATTTTATATACACAAAGTAAATGCTGGTGAGGTTATGAAGAACTTGGCAATGCTTGTACACTGCTGTGTACTTGGAGCAGCTACTACAGACAACTGTATGGCAATTTCTGAAACATCTCCACCTAGAATTACCCCTCGTCCCAGCAATTCTATGTGTAGCTATATGCCCAAATGAAATGAAAACTGGTTCTTGAACAAATATTTGTAGAATAATATTCATAGCGTTATTCATAAAGTAGAATGTATTCAAAAGGTTTAAACAACCTAAATGTCCATCTACAAGTGAGTGAATAAAATGTGGTAGGTATATGCAATGAAATATATTCAGCCTTAAGGAAGGAAATTCTAACACATAACTTAGATGGACTTCAAAGCTATTGTACTAAGTGAAGAAAGGCAGACACAGAAGGACAAACTCTGTGTGTGTCCACTTCTACAGGGCACCCAGAATAGCCAGATTCATGGAAATAGACGGACGCAGTGGTGCCCAGTTGTGATCCCAGCTATTCAGGAGGGTTATGAGTTCGAAACCGGCGTGGGCGATTTAGCTATACTGTAAAAATTAAAAGGGCTAGGGACATAGCTCAGTAGCACAGCACTTGCCTGGCCTGTGTTTGTGTGAGGCCCTGTGTTCCATTTCCAGTTCTGTAGATACAAACAAAACACAATGTGCAGACAGTGCCACTCAATTGTACGCTTAAAATGTTTAAAATGGTTTTGTTATGTGTACTTGCCACAACTTTTAGCAGTGCAAAAACATTCTTTTGTAATCTATGTATTACTGTAAAACTCTCATTGCTTTGTTGGGTGTGCTGCCACTGGGGAGGATCCAAAAGAAGAGATGATTCCTAGCAGAGTTGGAGGGATGGGAGAAGAGCATAGGTCCATCTGACAGGAAGAGCAGAACCGCGCAGAGCACCTCGCTTTGCCTTGCACAGCGACACACCCCAGGGTAACACCGAGTGACCCCCACCCCGGCATTGGTGGCTCGGAGGACAGATACTGGCAGTTTAGCATTGGCCAGATTATGTTTATGGACACATTCAGGGCTCAGGGGAAGGCAGCTGTTTTTTGTTGGTGGCTGCAGTGGTTTTCAAAGAAACAACTTACCTTTGTGGTGAAAACAGAAGTGAGACTAGCTTTGCCTCAGTGAGGCCCAAAATATTTAATGATGCCTTGAAATCATTGGAAATGAGATTCCACAGTGTGGTGCAATTATTTTCTACCAGGCTGAATGCAATCAAATCTCAACTTGCTTTTTGAGTTCTAGAGACATGAACACCTATCTTTAACCATATCCAGCAAAAATTGCAAGAAAAATTATCTTACGTCAGAGCAGTTACCCCTTTCCAATCCCAAGGAAAACATGAACTACAAGTTTAGAGGGAATTATGCCTGAGGGAGTTTTCTTAACTTACTGCCTTTTTCAGTATTAAGGGGCTATTTCATAAAGTTACATTTCACGCAATGATTTTTTTTCTTTTTTTAAATTTTTCTTTCTTATTTTTTTTTGGTTCCAGAGATCAAACTCAGGCCCTGTGGTTGCAAGGCAGGCAGCAGAACCACTGAGCCAAATCCCAGGCCCCATTCAATGATTTTTAAATGTTTGCATTATTTTTCTCAGACATTTTCCTGCAGATTACTGCGTTTATATTCAATCTTATCATTATCTATTTCAGATTTATATTGATCAGTTCCAGGGAAATCATAGAAATTTTAAATCTATAAATCTCTAATCTTTGCCCCTCTTTTGATGATATTGTGATATATAAAAATAGTTATAATTGCTTATTATAACTGTCTTTTCAAATAAATTTTAATATGTAAAAAAAGTTTAGAGAGAAAATCTAGTTTTAAATAATCTGCATTTTTGCATTATTTTAGGAAGTATAGTTTATGATTGTATCAAGTTACAGGTCAGGAAACATGTTTGTAGACTATTTTGTATGATATGAGAATTTTTGTAACTTCAGAGGATTGGTTCATCCTGTAAAATCAAATAGAAACTGTTTATGTGTTAACTGTGCATAAGGATTATTTATACTGTACTTGTGCTTCATTTTATTGATTCATAGATAATAACAAATTGTACAGGCTGAGAACACATAATTCTGTACATGCTGATGTGATGAGAGGTTGGAGTGTGGAAATAGGTGAAAGGTGGACTAATCCATCAGGCCAGTTTTTGAGTGTCTAGAAAACAGATTATCTTATCAGAATGAGGACTAAATATCACTGTGATTGATATTCCCTACCCAGAGGTTTTCAAAATTCCACTATACTTACGTTGTAATTGGTAGTAGTGGTTAATGGTGGTTTTATTAGCTGAAGATATTTTCCTCCAGTAGAGTTTATTTTTTTGGGTTTTTTTGTTTTGTTTGTTTGTTTGTTGGAGACAGGATCTCACTATGTAGTTGAGACTGACCTGGAACTCACTATGTAGCCCATATGTAGCTGGTATTGAACTCACAGTGATACTCTTGCCTCAGCCTCCCGAGTGCTGGGACCTCCTCTAGAGTTTAAATGGGAAAAAAAAGTCAGTCATATAATCTTCCAGTTTATGTCTTAAACTCTGCTTTTACTCAATTTAAAAAAAAATTTTTTTGGGTTTAATGTTTCCAAATCACAGTTCTGAATACCTCTATGCACCCAGTCCTAAACTTGATATGTGGAGGGATTAAAGAACTGGTCTTTTGTTTTGTTTTGTTTTGATTTGATTTTGGTTTTTTGAGACAGGCTCCTGTTATGTAGTTCAAGCTGACTTTGACTCACAGTGATCCTCCTGCCTCAGCCTCCCACATTGTAGGATTATAGGCGTGTACCACCATAACCATTTAAGAAATGTTGTAAGTCTTGTTTCTTATGGAACATACAATCTTATATAGGATGAAGATTCACGTGCATCAAAAAGTTAGAAACAAAAACTGAGGAATTTCAACTCTGCGGCACCGTTTCTCAAATTCTGTGTCCTGAGGATCACTGCCGCAGAATCACCTCAGCCCAGCCTAATCTGAATCCACATCAAATGGCAGGGCCTGTAAATTGGCATTCTTTAAACCATCTTGGTAGGTGATTTTGATGAACATAAAAGGTTGAGAACCATTATTATGCTGCCTAATGTCAAAGCAAAACAAGCTGCACATGTTATCATTTCCTTTGTTTGCCCTCTACTGATGTTTGTACAGCGAATAAGGATGAAATAATAGCAGCTTCCTGAGAGTGCCGTTCCCGTGACAGGGTTTAGGAAGTTCTTTCCTTTTTATGTTGCAGGTGCCAGGGCAGGGTAATTGTTTTTATTCTAAAAGATTTTTCTAAGTGCTTTGCATGTCATAATCCTGATTCATACTTTTTTTAAAAGACACCTTGTTTTCTAAAATCTTTCAGCTAAGCCCTATGAGTGATTTCTTCAGAACTCCTTTTTAAAGTTGGTAACCTTGTAACAGAAAGGTCAATAGGAAATGAGCACCCCAGCTGTGGTTTCCGTGGTCAGCGCCTGCTGCCCTCAGTCACCTGCTGTTTGTCCCTCTGGTTGGTTTCAGGTGGAAAGCTCTCCGTGGTCCTCCCTTCTAAAGACCTCTTGGAGGCCCTGCTGCAACCATCTGTGTCTGCACTTGCCAAGGTGACCACAGTGCAAAGACATAGCATCATCTGAGGAAAGTTGTGGCTTTAATCATTAAAAACAAGTAAAATTGAGCCAGGTGTGGTGGTGCACTCCTGTAATCCCAGCACTTGGGAGGCTGAGGCAGGATGATCACTGAGTTCAAGACCAGCCTGGGCTACATAGTGAGTTCCAGGTCAGTCTCAACTACATAGTGAGACTCTGTCTCAAAAAAACAAACAAACAAAAAAAGTGAAATTTTTGCCTGCTGATCTGACACTTTTATAAATGCCTCTTGTGAGTGGTATGCAGTCTAAATTCAAAAGTACTTTAAAAGCAACGCTTTATTTATTGTAGCACAAGCTCTTGCCCAATCAAGTATTAGCTTGCCTACACGAAGCCAAATACTTCTGCTTGCTCTGATTTTTTTTAATGAGTCCAAAATAGTTTATTATAAAAGAAATCAGTTTATATTAAAACAGATACTTTAAGGGGGGCTTTAAAATGTGCTAAATCACCTTCATACTCTTCTATTGCCTTTGTAACTTAACTATGATTTTTAAAAGAAAAATGAAAACATCTGAGCAGTAAACAGCTTTTCCCTCTTTGGGCTGCTAGACAATGTGGGGGAAGCCTTCAGAAAAAACAGCTGATCTGTGTGATTCTGTGGCTTTGGCACCCACACTGCTCACGGTATGTATACTTTCACGGGCCACACACGTCAGGGTTCAGTTTTCAGATTCACCTGTTCAAGGACTTAAAACCCAGACAGGATAAGATTCTGAATAAGCAACTATCAGTCTGACTATATGGCCAGAGTGCCATCTAAATTAATTTACAAAGGGTAATAACTGCGATCGGTTAAAAATTCAGGAGATCAAAGTGCTGATTTAAAAAATGCTTATCCAGCAACAGTCTTTGAACTGATCCTTCTGCTCCATACACACTGCAGTGTTTCAGAGCAATCATCCACAAGCACACTTGCGATAGATTCCCTGCTGAAAACCACATTCCCCTGATTGGTGTACATTCCTGGGGCTTTGCAGTGTGCATTTGTGCTGTATATGTCTATTTGTCATGTACCTGGCCTCACTTCTCCTTTACCTAGTACATATCCTGTGCTCCCTTTCTACTGTCTTGAACAATGCATGACATTTATTTGCTCTCCTTCCTGTACTCCTTCCTCAAATCTTTTCCCAGTACAGTTCTACCTCTAGTTACTAACCCTGTGAATGTTCCGTCCCCTGGGAGACCTGACACTCCTTGCTGAGTCTGATGAACTCTTTCCCCAGTTGGAACCCTGAGCTATTTGTTTAGATCACCAGCTCCCAAGGTTTGTTCTGTAGCAGAATCACTTGGAGGGCTAGTAAAGAACACAGGCAACAAGGGTCGGTGTGCAGGGACAGGCCTGGGCCCTTTGAAGATGTCCCAAGTTTCCTGAGAGACTGTCCTCACTAAGATTTGAGTGTCTGGTGAGGACTCTTCTCAGAAAATTTAATTTTCTATCTTTTTTAATGTGATTGGTGCATTTATTAACCCTTCTTATTAAATGTTAAACTTCTGTGGATCTTATTTATATTTAAATGTAACTCCTGTCCCATGTTCCCAACACAATGACTTTTCAAAGTCAGAAATCAATTGCTCTGTGTTGTATGTAACTAAAAAACAGAGCAGAACTGAGGGGATGGATAGGGAAAGTTCAGGCGGTGTTTTCCAGCATGGAGTAAGCACTGATGTAAATTGAGTGGGAAAGCAGTGGGAGTCAGTAGTGAATCAGTTATGAGAGTTCTCACCTGAAGCCAGTATCCACCGTGCCTGTCTAAGGAAATAGGGCAGTGACGGTGAGCCTTTTAGAGCTCTCAGTGACAACACACAGTCCACTGATGGGCGCACGCCGTAGATCTGCGACTACAGATAGATGACCTGTGAGGGCAAGGAGGTAAACGACATCTAATCACAACAGGGGTAGAAATGGGGCCGCCAGCCAGGCTTGCTCAGGGAAGCAGGACGTGAATCACAATGGGGTTGCTGTGATCTTAGGCTCCCTGGAGCTCTTTAAGCACACGCAGGCCAGGGACAGGGCGGAGTGAAGAGTCATTAATCAGCGTGAATATGAAAGTGTCAAGGCTGGGACCATGAAGGTTGTGCTTCCGGCTGGTAGAGCGGGTCCAGCTAGAGTTAACTGAGGTGGACTTCAAACTGGCCTGAAATTAAAACCCCAAAGCCACTCTGGTTTATAGAGATCATGAAGTCCATGCTGCCTGGAAACAGCTGTGGACTCCAGCTCCCTCCCTTACTGCTTATCGAATGATGGAACCCACCATTTCTGGGGGACTTATTCACTCATTTGTTTAATCATACGCACTTGTTCCGTCCTTTCTGCGTGCCAAGATGTAGGCCAAGCAGATAAAATTCAGTGGTGGCGAACCTGTGGCACACATGCTATAGCTGGCTGTTGGTTATTACCGAAAGCTCCAAAAGGTTCGCCATCACTGACACAGATGATATATTTCCAATAATACTCAGGAAAACCTACAGGCACACACATCCCCAGCATTTTCCAGTGCACCTTTCCTTGGTAATGTCCCGCTTTGGAGTATTTAGTAATAAGAAACCAAAAACAGTTTGAACAGGTCTTTGTCTCGAAATGCTTATGTTCTAATGACTCTATTTACTTACTTCTAGGATTCAGTTGATTTCCTCTCTCTTGATTTGTCTTATGAATGCCAAAGTGAGGCAAGTCTACCAGAGAAGCTGAATAAATTGCAGGTAACCAGAGCCCTTTTCCACATTAGTGATCTGTGGTGAATGATCCTGGGAGCATATTAGACATTTAATACTTTGGCTAATGTGTGAACTGAACTTCCACCAACAGGCAGAACCTGCCAAGTTGCCTCTGGGGAGATTTCCATTGAAAGCATCCCTAGAAGGCATTAGGATGTTAGACCCAGCCTTTCCTAGAAAAGGTAACAGGAGTTAATTTGTTAAGATAAATATTCACATGGATCCTGTGCTGCCTCATGTAGAAAAGTACTGAAAAAAACTACTTTAAAAACATAGTTCTTAAATGAAAAAAAAAGACAGTTCACTGATGCTAGTTGCAGTATTAGTTCATTTTACATCACTACAATAAAAGAGCAGAGGCAGGCTATCTATACAGAAAAGAGAGTTATTTAGCTCACGGTACTGGAGGCTGCAGGGCATGGTGCTGCCACTGACTCAGCCCTGGCTCAGCCTCTCGGCTGCCTCACATCGTGGTGAGAGCATGTGTGTTAGGACGATGTCGCTGCGTAAAACAGGGAGCCAGAGGGCCTGAGGCCACACAGCCTCTTCTGAGGGCCGACTGAGCCGTGACCTCCTGCCATGCCCCACCTCCTTGTGAGAGCACTGCAGGGACCGAGCCTCCTGCCCACACGTGAACCTTTGGCAGGGGACACACACCATGTCCAAGCCACGGCAGTTGCACGACAAAGTAAAACTGCTTAATGCACTTAGCCAGGGTCAGCTGTTAGTGGGCACTGAATGTGGGATCTGAGCCAGGGCTTTATCATTCTAAGATGCTACTCTGCGTATCCAAAACAAAAATAAGTCTGCGGGGGCTGGGGATTTAGCTCAGTGGTTCCACCGCCCGCCTCGCAAGCACAAGGTCTCAAGTTCGATCCCCGGTACCAAATAATAAATAAATAAATAATCTGAGGTGTTGCAATTGTTATAACGAAGACTGTATTTTTTTTTTCCTTGTTTCTGTTTTGCAGTACAGGGAATTGAACCCTGGGCCTCACAGATGAAAGTGCTCTACCATTGAGCTACAACCCACAATTGCCTTCTTAAAAATCATGTATCATTTTAATTGACTTTGTTTTTTGTGTGTGGAGGGGGTTCGGCACTGGGCCTTGAACCCAGGGCCTTCACACTTAGCTACATCCGCATCCCTTTTTTATTTTTCATTTTGAGACGGAGCCTCACTAAATTGCCTGTGCTGAGTTTGAATTTACGATCCTCCTACCATGGCTTCTCAGGCTGCTGGGATTAAATGAACTAAATCACATGCCTCTGAGCCGCGGGCAACAGGAGCAGTGGAAACTGTGTTTCAAGATGTGGCTTACAGAGCTTCTCTTTTTATGTCACAACCTCTGTACGAGGGCCTATTCCTTCCAGTGTCTGGGTAACAATGACACCTCAGTCCATAGCTGGCCTGCCAAATACTGTAATAAATTCTTTGTGGACACACTTAGCAGCCATTGTTTATATCTTGCAACAGTTCCTTTTTCATTTCCAGAGATGAAATGAATGGAATGAAATGGTGGGAAATTCCAGAGGTTACACGTGACAGCTCAAGTGCAGCCTCAAAGATTCAGAATGGAGCCAGGCATCCTGGTGCACACTTGTAATTCCAGCACTGTAGGAGGCTGAGGCAGGAGAATTACAAAGTTGAGTATCGATTAGGCAATTTAGTGACTTGGTAAGACCCTCTCTCTAAATAAAGAAGCAAAAAGGGGCTGGGATGTAGTTCACTGAGAAGGCCCTGGGTTCAATTCCCAGTACTGAAAAAAAAAAATCAAACCGGGCATGATGATGCACACCTATAATCCAAGCACTCAGGAGGCTGAGGCAGGAGAATTGTTGTAAATTCAAGGCCAACCTGAACTACATAGTGAAACCCTGTCTCAAAAAATCAAAACACAAGCCAGGGATTTAGCTCAGTGGTGCCACTGCCTGCCTTGCAAGCCCAAGGTCCTGAGTTCGATCCCCAGTACAAAAACAAAACAAAACAAAAGGGCCAGGGATTTAGCTCAGTGGTGCCACCACCTGCCTCTCAAGCACAAGGTTCTCAGTTAGATCCCCAAAGGGGAGTGGGTGGGAGCACAGCTCAGAGTAGAGCACATGCTTTGTACGCGTGAGGCCCTGGGCACAGCTCCCCCCACTGAACAACAGAAAGATTCAGAATGACAAGGACAGTGACTGAGCCACAGAAAAGTCTTTCCTCGGGCATCATAGATGCCTGGTTGCAATTCCAATACACAATTACGCTGCCGGGACAGGAAGGAGAGTTCTCACTGAGAAGGGGCAGGCACTCCGCTTTCCTCCACGCTCACCAGAGCACCTGCAAGTCACGCGCCTCGGGCCTCAGCGGCAGCTCATCAGTGGCACACAGGTGTCTCGGGTACATCCTCAGGCCAGCGCCTTGATAAACAGCCGCAGCACAGCCCACTTCCGGCTGCGGCAGGAGGCCTGCGAGGAGCGCCTGTGCGTCTCTGAGAAAAGGGCCTGTTTATCCAGGCCCTCCGCTCAGCAGCAGGCAGGACGGACCCTCAGAGGCTCCTCTTGCGTACCGGTCTTGGAAAAGTTCAGCTCTAGCCCTGCGTGTGGATCTTTCAGGAGGGAAGAATACCATTCTGTGAGCAGGCCACGCCAGTCCTTTATCTCTCCTGCAAAGTGACCCCAGCCCAGGGAAAGGAAGAAGGCTGTGTAGAGTCACAACTCCACTAAGCCACTGGTGATGGGCAGCTCACTTGGCTTCTTGGAGCCTTCAGTGTCTCATCTGCAAAGAGGGAACATTTCTCACAGGCAGAGGTGAGAAAGTATTATAAAGGTACCTGATCTTTCGTAAGTAGTTGCTACTAGTATCTCTTGGTAGCCTTTAAGTGTTCAAAGGAGGAAAAAGTATGGGAAAAATGATGAAACCTTCAACTTCCCAAAAGAGGTTATTTAAAATGAAGTCACACATGTCAGCCTGTAGGTACTTCCCTTGATATGGGAGGGCCTGGGGGGGGATGGGAAAGCAATTACACCTGCTCCAGTTTTAATGCTGACAGGATGGAGGGAAGAAGGGGACATAAAGAGAATTAAAATGTGTTATGGCCAAGTGTGGTGGCACACGCCTGTAATCCCAGCACTCGGGAGGCTGAGGCAGGAGGATCGCTGTGAGTTCGAGACCAGCCTAGGCTACATAGTGAGTTCCAGGTCAGTCTCAATTACATAGTGAGACACTGTCTCACAAAAAAAAAAAAAAAAAAAAAAAAAAGATGCGTTATGTACATGTACCAACTCCCCAGGATGAATGTAATCATTATGTACTGTAAACAAGTGCTAATAAAAATAAAATTTTAAAAAAGGTGACAGCTCTTTGGCTTTTTGCCATGGAAAATTTCAAACGTATCTAAAGGTAAGGAGAAAAGTCTAGAGAACCCCTTGAAGCCGTCACCCATTTCAAGTACTATTGTTTCACTTGCATTACTCTTTTCCCTTTTACTCTGGATTATTTTGAAGCACAGCCCAGGCATTTAAAAGTACGGTGATGGTGGAATCTTGATAAGCTGCTTTTGTTTGTTTGGTTTTTTTCCTGGTACTGGGGATTGAACTTGGGTCCTTGCACTTGCAAAGCAGGCACCCGAACCACTGAGCTAAATCCCTGGCCCTTGATAAGTTTCTTGAGTAATGCAGACTCCAAATATGAGCAGACAAACATGTTCCTGACAGTGCTGGTGCTAAAAGGTTCCTTGTGAGGCTGAAATGGTAACACTTTGGTTGGGGTGGGACGGCGGCCCGTGGTACTGAGAAGAGCAGATCTTTCCGCTTCAGAGTCTAGAGCCAGCCTAATCTGAGATGGCTGCAGGTCGTTTCCAATGCTGGAGCATTGTACCTTCTCACTTTGAAATAGATGTTATCAAAAGATACTTCCTAGGTGGCATCACTTCACTTGTTGGTCTGTATCTTTTTCAGAGCATTGAGCCAAAAGTAAAAGTTTTCACTTTCACTCTAAAACTTCAAGATTGTCCCTCTACCAAGAAGGACCCTGCCAGGACGCTTGTTGGCCTTTTTGAAGGTGAGTGGCCCATGACTAGCGGGGTTTTGAGTGACATCTGGTGTCCTGGCTTGGTGGGTAGCAGACTGGAAAGCCTGGGTTAAGTAGCAGGAGGGGAGTAGGAGGAGGCCTGAACTGAGAGCACCCCCTGGCGGACAGAGTCCCCTGCCTTTCATGGCAACCAGATCCTGCTGCCCCAAGAGACAAGGGTCTGCACAAGGATGCCTCTTACGGGAGCAAGGACTGCCCAGCCTCAGAGGTGCGCTGTCGGCGTGGAAACATCTTTTTGCCTGTCTCCTTCCATTACGAGTCCCTTCATCTCTGCCCCATTCTGCAGGGTTGCCTCGTGCCTCTCCAGCCTTGAGAGGCTTATGCTTGCCCTGATTCCCCTTGTTCTGTGTCCCTATTACAAGTTGCACGTGGGCTTGATGGGCACATGAGATGCTAAAAACCCTCAAATGCAGGATCTGCAGCTCGGGGACCATTTTTTCAGCATCTGGTTCAAATTCTTTTTTTTTTTTTTTTTTTTTTTTTTAAAAAACGGGTCCTTGTGGAGCTAAATCCCCAGCCCTCACATTCTTGACAGTGAATCTGATTGACCATAAATCAAGAAGCGGGCTGGGGATTTACTTCAGTGGTTCAACTGCCTGCTTTGCAAGTGCAAGGACCCAAGTTTGATTCCCCAGTACAAAAAAAAAAAAAAAGCCAGGCATGGTGGTGCATGCCTGTAATCCCGGCACTCGGGAGGCTGAGGCAGGAGGATCTCTGTGAGTTTGAGACCAGCCTGGGCTCTATAGTGAGTTCCAGGTCAGTCTCAACTACATAGTGAGATCCTGTCTCAATTAATAAATAAATGAAGAAGCTGCTCCCAGGCTAATTGAACTGGGGAGAGGTGGGGGCTTTTTTTACCACACGATACCGCTGGAGACTACAGGAAGGGGTGTGGGCCGGTGCTGGAGTGTCCCAATACTACGTCTCATCACCTTTATCCACAGGCCAGTGTATGGCAAAATTGGTTCCCTTTCCACCACCTGCAGCCTTCCCGGCACTGTGGTGGTTCCACAGCCTCCTGCAGCTGGTCCATAGACTCATTAATACCTCCCCCTAACTCAGCTTTGATAATGAACTCTGTCCGCAAGTGCTACCTTCTTCTAAGTGGTTAAAATAGTAACTTTTACGTTAGTGTATATTTAAACCACAATTTTTTTCAGTACTGAACCCAGGGCCTCTCACATGTGGGCAAGCACTATTACTAAGCCTTACCCCCAGCCTTTTTTTTTTTTTTTCAGTTAAGACAGGGTCTTGCTAAGTTGCCCAGGCTGTTCTTGAACTTGTGATTCTCCTGTTTGAGTCTCCTGAGTAGCTAAGATTCAAAGTGTGAGCCACCATGTCCTGCTTAAACCACCATTTAAAACAACAGCAATAAAAATTCCACTGCTAGCCAAGTATGGTGGCCCATGCCTGTTATCCCAGCAATTGGGAGGCTGCAGCGGGCGGATCGCTGTGAGTTCAAGACCAGCCTGGGCTATATGGTGAGACCTTGTCTCAAAGAAACAAACAAGCAAAAACAAACAACCCCCCAAAAACAAAATAAAAATTCCACTGCTTTCTATGATGAGTTCTCAATTGTTCCCAAGTTTTGGCCTCAGGCCAGCAGCAGAGGATAACCGTCACTTGGAGACAGAATGCGTCTCACAGATCCCCCAGACCTCCTTGATGGAGACTCGGTGGGCTCAGCAGTATGTGTCAGCAAGTCTGTAGGTGATGTGATTCACTCGGAGGTGTGAGTACCACTGTTTCAAGTCATGAGCAGGTCAGAAGCATCTGACCTCCTCCTGCCCTTAGGCTGGGGTATTTTCAGAGGCTCTTGGAATCACCGCTTGGAATTTAGGTGTTTTTTATGCATGAAGAAAACTGACTTCAGATGTGCATGTTCTTTGTTGAGTTTTATATGGAGTTAAACTACTTCTTTTGCAGCCATAAAGACCATGTACTCATCATTGGGCTTGACGTCAGTGCGTTCCTGAGCTGCTCAAGTTCCAAGAAAAGGTAGTGTCAGACTGCGTCCTGCGTCGTCAGTAACTGATGTGCAGACTGCACTGCTGTTCTTTCACCTGGGTGTCTCCAGGAATGTTGTCAATTGTCTCTTGGGCCAGCAGGTTTATTATGATCGTTCTCTCTACGAGAGAAGTCGTCCCATACTGTGTCTCAGTCTCGGCCCCACACAACCTGGCTTTCTCACCAGCTGCACATAATGGACAACTGGGATTTGAGCCCCTGCATCCTAGTTTAAGATCTCAGTGGAAGAGAGGTCCAGAAAATCTGGCCACTGCCCTGAGATTTCATGGTGAGTTCTTCCCCGGTTTCGTCAGTGTGAAATGCCTTCCCCACGTGAGACAGGAAAGGCAGCCTTCACGGGGACCTAACAACAGAGGCTTTAGTTACTGATGAAGCTGCGAGTAACTTCTTATCAATGACTGAAGTACCAAGGTCTGTGAGGGCTGGGCTAGGGATTTAGCTCAGGGGTGCCGCTGCCTGGCTCCCGAGTGCAAGGTCCTGAGTTTGATTTCCGATACCAAGAAAAAGCAATGAGAGCGGACTGGAGGTCGTCTCCATCATCACACCGGATCTCGGGGCGGCCCCAGAAGCGGGGAAAGATGGTGTGGACACTTCGTGTCCCCAGAGCCTCAGGGTGTTTCATGGTGAACTTTGCACGCCGTGCCTTAAGGAAGGACGGGCTGGAGACCGTCGTTCAGCTTCCAGATGCTCAGCGAGCGCTTTGTTCGCCTCCGACATTTGAGGCACCTCTCCTCTTCCATCACTCGGCTGTCCTGAGCCACAACCCTCCTGTTGTTCATGCCCCCAGCTTGTTTCAAATCGGCAGTTCAAACCGGTGAACCCCAGCGGCCGCAGGGTGTCGGGCCCTGTGCAGGGAGGGTAGTCCGTGCCCCGAGCAGACCGGTCGGAGCAGCTCTCTGACCACACTTGGAGTCGGACAAGGCGTGCTGGGCTGTGACTCGGGAAAGCAAACACAGTGAACAGTAACATGGGTTCCCTGTGGGTCAGTACCGAAACACCAGTGGCACCGTCTCCGATGTTCTCTCCCCGGCACTCTGACCCTGTGGTTCTTCCCCTGAAGCCCGGATCCAACAGTGGCTTCAACAGGGCCCTGGCTCAGTGGAGGCGGATGGAGAACCTGCCCGTGCAGGGGGAGGCGGAGATGGGCTCGGTTCGTCCCGAGAATTTCAGACCTCGAAGGTGAATCGGGCCCTCGAGTGGTTCTCACCAGCGTGTGGCACTGCATCCCAGAAGAGGGAAAGAGGGGCACTGTCTGGGTGCTGAGGAGAGGCGGAGGCTAGGGTTTCTCGTCCTATTAAATCTCCCTTCAAGTGAATCCCAGACTCCCCGCTCTAAGACCCATTTCTGCCAGGAGTTCGTTCCCCAGACCTTTTTCCTCCAAGGCAGGAAGATGGAGGCAGGATCAGAGATGGCTGAGAGTGAGGTTATGATCTGCTGGTATTGATGGGCACAGGCACGCAAGGAGGCTGAACCCTTGGGCTCCAAAGTATGTGAGCACTTAAATAATTCACAGCCCCTCCCCACTGTTCGAGCAAACCCAGGAAGATGACGCTACATAAAGCAGGAGCATAGGCAGAAGGGCCCTCCTGTGGGGCTACTTGGAGGGAGGCCCTTCCTCAGCGGCCCGTCACTGTCGGTTCTGTGCTTTGGGCCTACCTGCTGCGCCCTTGTGCTCCACCTCCGCCCGCTGCGCCCTGTTTAATTCTCCAGCCCAACACGCCACCTCTGCCAGCACTTCCTCAGGGCTGCCCTCCGCTGGGTGCCCTTTGCTGTGTGCTGCGGTGCCGCACGATCCACCCTTTGAGGCACAGTTCATTGTGAAATCAATTAGAATGATGATAACCAAAATTAAGGGGATTTAAAAAAAAAGGAATGGGAAAGAGGAGAAAAAACTAGAGTAAAATAGAAGATGGAAGCCAGGCATGGTGGTACATGTGTGTAATCCCAGCTCTTGGGAGGCTGAGGCAGGAAGATTGCAAGGGGTCCTGACTAGGCAGCTTTAATGAGACCCCGCCTCAAAATAAAAAGGGCTCAGCGTGAAGGCTCCGAGTTGAATCCCTAGTACCATTAGGGGAAAAAACAATATACTGAGTACAAGGGTAGCACTTCTATGAGATGCTGTATTTCAGATGTATTAAGTGTGATGAGCGCACGTGAGCATTTCCACAGTATGCGGTGATGGATGGTTAAAAGCGTGAGTTCTGCTCCCTCTCTGGCAAGCTGCGTGGTCATCAGGAGTCCATGCTCCCTCTTGTTTCTTTGCCATCCTTTTAAGCTCTGTGCTTGTCCTGCCATACACTCGAGCTCCTGCCATTATGTCTTCAATTCGGCAACAGGAAGAGACTGCAGCCAAAGCTGCTGTTTAGTTGGTACACAGCAGTAGCTCCGTTATTAGAATATTCCTGTACCTGCTCGTAAACAGCTACTGGACCCTGAGGCCCAGAAGTTACTCATCGAAATCAATTTCATTCCCATAGGGTGAGGATGTAGAACCTATCTCCTAAGTTAGTTGTGAAAGTTAAATGAGATAATGTACCTATATTATTCCTGTGGCCAGCACAAAATCTAGGCTCAGTAAATCGAAATAATTATTAGCTATGTTCTAAAAACAGTAAATTATAAGAATAAAGTACCGAACCAGAAATGAAGTCTGTACTCGTGGGGTGTCTTAGCTATTTTCCCCGTCTCTGAGACACAAAACCAGGCACCCACACTTTAAAGGAGGAGGGTTCCTTTTGGGTCACCGTGTGCAGAGGTTTCGGTTCGTGATCCACTTGTTTCCAGGCAGGGTTGCAGGGCAGACAGGAAGGAAGAGGAACCCAGGCCAACGCCCCGTGGCCCTCCTGTTCTAACCAGAACCCCCCCATGGCAAGTTTGCTGTAAGCCCCCCACATCCAACCCCTCCGAAGGTCTCAGCTGTGATCCCATGAGTCTTTAGGGGTCTCGGTGTAAACCATGGTAAGAGGGATCTGGTCAGGAGAACAACGCATTGTTACTGTCCTCCTGCAAGAGTGACACGCACTCGCCCAGGAAGGGCGATTTCCCCTTTGTCGGTCATTTCTCGCCTATGACTTTGCAGAAACACTGTCGAAAACCGAGTCCACAATCTTTGCTGATTAAATACATCGGCCCTATTCATCAGAATAGGGACATTTGGGAGTCACTAATTGTTTCCCTTGGTCTCGGTCCCACAGCATGCCGTGCTCTCTGACTGATGGCCTGGCCCTTCAGAGTGACCAGCAGCAGGACCGTGACCCAGCGCGTGGGCCCTTGTCCTCACCTGTCGGAGGGTCTGGGAAGCCTTTGCTCACCTGTCCACGACAGAAGGGGATGCCTTGCCTTTCTGCAGATGTCTTCCCTGAAGGCTTCCTCTGGGGCGTCCCCACAGGAGCCTTTAATGTGGAAGGGGCCAGCATCTGGGACGTGTGGACTGAATGCCACCCGGGCCAAGCGACCCCAGAGGTGGCTAGTGACGGTGACCACAAGTCAGCGTCCCGCATGGCCCTGCTCCGTGGGCTTCAGGCTCGGGTGGACGAGTTCTCCATCTCCTGGTCCCGGGTCTTCCCTACTGGGCACAGGCGCAGCCTCAACCTCCAAGGAGTCGCTTACTACAACCAGCTGACCGATGCCCTGCGGAACTCGCACGCGGAGCCCATGGTGACGCTGTCCCGCTGGGACCTGCCTCGGGCCCTGGGGGACCTGGGCGGTGGCAGAATGAGAGCGCGGTGGATGCCTTTCTGGGCTACGCAGCCTTTTGCTTCTCTGCTTTCGGGGACTGTGTGAAGCTGTGGGAGACCTTCCAAGAGCCACGGGCGGTGAGCTATGCGTGCGCCAGGCATTTCTGACCCGGGAGTGGCCTCTTGTAAGGTATTTCCCATCCCTGTAACTCCTACGAATTGGGGGGAAAAAGAGTTTTGGCTGAAAGGAAGTCATGTGATCTGTCTCCTCAGCAAAAAGTGTTTACTTTTTGTTCTTTGGAGGAAATCGGAAGCATAAATTGTTAACCATCTTGTTTTGTCCAGACACTGTGCTGGCAACTTTAAAAATAGTTGTTACAGGCCCGGAGCAGCACTCAGGGATGAGGGAATATAGGGGCTAAGAGAGGACAAATAATGGAGTCATGATGACATCACTGTTGGGGTGCCAGTTGGAAGCAGGATCTGAGCCCGAATCTCCACAACTCCAAAAGTAAACTCCTGAAATAGGGCAACAGCTCAGTGGTAGAGCACTTGTTCAGCATGTGCAAGGCCCTGAATTCCATTCCCAGCACTGCAAAAAAGAAAACCTCCCTCATGTTACTCCGGACTCCTGGCAGCAAGAGACAGAAAACCCAACAAACTGATGTAAGCAAGGAGGGAATTTATCAGTTCAGGAAAATGAAAAGTCTAGGTTTTAGCTTGGTCAAGGTAGAGCTTGACTGGAGCACAATACTCCCCCAGACCCGGCCGGACTCCCGTCTTGTTCCCTCGTTGGCTTTGTTCTTGGGCTGTCTGGTCACCAGGTGGCAGTGGCCCAGCTTTAGTATCTCCAGACCAGCAGGAAAGAAAGCTCGCCTCTGACATTTCCAGTCAAAGTGTCCTATGTCTCCTGGGCTCTAGGTAGCCACATGCCCACCCCGGAGTCCATGCTGGGTCCCACAAGGGGCCTGGTGACTGAGCCTCGGGTCCCAGTTCTGTCCCCAAACACACTGGCTGCCGAGTGGATGGGGAAAGGACAGGAGGAGGGCTTTGCGTTTCGGGTGGCAATTGCTATCATTTCAGAAGGGTGTGCATGCTAGAGGCAAACTTTTTTCTTTTGGTACTGGGGATCAAACCCAGGATCTTGCACTTGTGAGGCTGAGCTAAATCCCTGGCCCAAGCTTTTCTCTCTTTTTTTTTTTTGTTTGTTTTTTGAGACAGGGTCTCACTATGTAGTTGACACTGCCCTGGAACTCACTATGTAGCCCAGGCTGGTCTCAACCTCACAGCGATCCTCCTGCCTCAGCCTCCCGAATGCTGGGATTACAGGCGTGTGCCACCATGTCCGGCAAGCTTTTTTCTTTGATATGGGTCGGGTCTCATTATATTGCCCACGTTGTCCTCAACCTCCAGGGCTTGAGTGATTTTTCTGTCAGCCTCCTGAGTAGCTGGCACACGAGGGACACATCACCATGCCTGGCTCTGGGAACCACATTTTAGATGGCTTAATATTGAGCTGGGGATTTAGCTCAGTGGTGCTGCACTGCCTCACAAGTGCAAGGTCCTGGGTTTCATCCCTGTACCAAAAAAAAAAAAAAGTTACACTTAGGTAGCTTAATATTTGTCTCCCTTAATTTCTCTTTTCCTTCAGAACCTACCAAAAATCCACCACTTTGCCTGGCAACTTTCTTCAGGGGGATGTGCGGCTTTCCCTGTCACGCTTTAGGTTCTGTTCTGAAATCTGTTTCCTGTGCTCTATGCCAGGTGTTAAGGAGAGATTTTTGGCCATGTCCTCAATGTAGGGGAGAAACTCTGACCTCTCCTCTGTGCCTCCAAACTGTTTCTTCTTGAGCTTTTACTGTGGCTCCTGAGAGATAAGTGTTTCTACATAGACTGATGAGTCAAATACAAAGGTCTCATCTCCAGATACCATTGCACTAAGCCTAGAGCTTCAGCATGAATTTTAGGTAAACAGTTCAGTCCAAAGCAACTGCTTTGCCTTTATGGCATTGTCATGGTGTACCTAAGTTTAGTGCTCATTTACTTGATACGCTATTACACTTTTTCATGTTATTAAACAGTCAGTGATTCTTTTTCACTGCTTTTTTTTTGCTTTTTCAGACAAGGTCTCACTGTATAGTCCAGACTGGACTTGAACTCACTATATAGCTGAGGCTGGCCTCGAATTCACAGCAATCCTCCTGCCTCAGCCTCATGAGCGCTGGAATCACAGGCGTAAGCCACCACACCTCGTTTGTTTCGAATGGCCCTTTAGTAGTTAGTTCATCAAGCACCTTGCTTTACAGGAGCTAGTTTAGAAGGGAGGAATTCCTGTCTTTTGTAAAGGAGCCCAGTTCAGTGCTAACATTAGGACATGAGAAAAGCCAGAAGTTTCACTTCCTAGGGCAGATTTTAATGAAATTCTTCAACAGTAAATGTCATCCTGCTTAGATGATAAAAAGGAAAAGAAAGTAAGATCTAGCAAGCTCCATTCTGCACTGCATGCCTTTGTTTGGTACTTAGATATGTTAATACAAATCCTCCCAGATGGGTCCATAATTACCTGTTTCTTTCAAAGTAGGGAGCTGAAATTGAGCGTGGAGGTTGTCCAAGCTCACAGGACAAATTAATGGCAGAGCCAGGATAGAAATGTATGCTTGTTACTCTCCAACCTCGCCCTCAGTATCCCTATTTTTTCATGATGCTCAACCAGAAAGCTGACAGCTTTTTTCAGCCTACAAAGTTTTCTTTCTAGATTTAAGTAGAAAGGACAAGTACCTTTAAAAACAAAGTGGCGTTTCCTTTGTGAAAATAATAATTATTTTAATTAATTGTGCATTAAAATAACACTTGACTAATTGTCCAATAAGCACTCGTTGGGTATAGAGGCAAAATAGCATTCTGGGTGATAAAACAGGCATGGAGTTGGACTGTGGATTTAAATTCTCGTTCTTCTGGTTGTAGACATGCAGAGTTATTACACCTATATGGACATTTTTCCTCATTTATAAAGTGGTAATAATAGTTGTACTCGCCAAATAAAGTTGTACGGCCTACGTGACAGAATTTTTTTGAGCAGTAAGTGCTCAATACATATTAATATAGTTTTTGAAATTGTTAATGGTGGTGTTGAATTGTTAACCTGTTGACTTCTTTTGACTCTTGTTTTTTTTTTTGTTCTAGGGGTTGAGCCCAAGCCAAAATACATTCCCAGACCTTTTTATTTTTCATAAGTCACTAAATTGCCTGGCTTGGGCTTGGACTTGCCTGCCTCAGCTTCCCAGAGTGCTGGGATGACAAGCATGCACCACCTCACCTGGTACTTGTTGATGTTGACACTGGTGTTGATGATTTTGACCACAACATTATGACTTGCTGACACCTGTATTAACATCTTGACACAGTTTTTGACTTACTGACTTATTGAATGTTGACATTGATGTTAATGTGGAATTGTTACTGACTTGTTAGTGTTGTCGTGTTGCGACTCACTGTTTTTGTCATCATGACTTGGTAATTGAGATTGGTGTTAACATTCTTGTGATTCGTTTTGGGCTTAGTGCTACCGTTGAAATTGTTGGTATTAAGCACTGTATTTTCTTCTTTATAGGTGGCTCACTTGATTCTCAGGGCTCATGCCAGAACTTGGCACCACTACAATAGTCACCATCGTGCTCAGCAGCAGGGGAGTGTGGGCATCGTGCTGAACTCGGACTAGGCAGAGCCTTTGTCTCCAGAGCAGCCCGAAGACCTCACAGCCTCTGAGCGCTTCTTGCACTTCATGCTGGGCTGGTTTGCACACCCCTACCCTCCTGCCATGAAGGCTCAGATTCAACAGCTAAACAAACAGTGCTCCAGTCTTGTGGCCCAGCTCCCAGAGTTCACGGAGGCAGAGAAGCAGCTCTTACAGGGCTCTGCTGACCTTCTGGGTCTGTCTCATTATACCTCCCGCCTCATCAGCAAGGCCCAACAGGATACCTGCCTACCTAGCTATGACAACATAGGAGGCTTCTCCCAACACGTGGACCCTGCGTGGCCTCAAACGCTTTTCCTTGGATTTGCGTGGTGCCCTGGGGTATAAGAAGGCTGTTGCGATTTGTCTCCATGGAGTACACAAAAGGTAAAGTTCCCATCTCCCTGGCTCGGAATGGCATGCCCGCGGGGGAAAGTGACAGTGGCTTTGACGACTCCTCAAGAGTGGCCTACTTCAAGCAGTACATCAGTGAGGTGCTAAAAGGTAAGACCATGGCCGTGCTGTGCCCAGGGGGTGGCACTACAGATATTCATAGTTCTGCTTAATGAAACAAGGATAATCTCCCAGGGAAATGAAGCCAAAAAGCAACCTTGGTGGGGTGTCCTTCCTGTGGGCCTCCTCTTTTGCCCAAAGGCTGGCGTTTTTATTTCAGTGTTCTTCCCTAGAATATGGCTCCTCCTCCCTCCTGCCCATCTGAGTCCTAGCCAGTCATCAAGACTTTTTTTTTTGGTTCCAAACTTGGGACCTTGCGCTTGTGAGGCCGGCGGTGGCACCACTGAGCTAAATTCCTGGCTCACCACCCCTTTTGCTGGGGATTGAACCCAGGGTCTTGCACATGCTGGGCAAGTACCTACCAATATGCTTTTCCCAAATAAGGTTAGGACTGGGGTTAGAACTACCGGAGGTTATACAAATTAAGGTAGAACTACCTGGGGTTATTGAATGTAACATTTGATATAAAATAGAGATAGCCTTGAAATTATTTTCCAAGTTTGATTTTTCTTCCTTTGTTATAAACAAAGAAAAAATTTCAATTTACCTGGATACTTTTTCATCTCACAAAAGTAAAACCCCTGTGTAAATTAAAGAACTACCTGGGGTTAGGACGTTGACATATCTTTTGTGAGGTCACCATTCAATCTGCTGCATTTCTTTTAGGCTTAATTTTACTTTTCCCCCCTCGGTATTAGTTCAATCTGGCCTTGAACTCATTATGTAGCCCACACTGGCCTCAAAATCGCCAATCCTCCTTTCTCAGACTCCCAAGTGCTGGGATTACAGGAGTGTGCTACCACACCCAGCATTTATTTTTTAAATACAGACTGTGTCCTGATGTTATTTCAACACTACTAAACGTAAACAGGGAAAAGTAAAAACAAACATTTAAGTGATTTGTGCATTCTATACAAACTAAAGCATCCTAATGCTAGAAGGTGGAAGATGTTCTATTATTCATTTTTTGCTGAGTAGGTGGTTCACATTTGTAATCCCTATTTGGGATCCTGAGGCAGGAGAACTGAAAATTTAAGACCAGCCTGGGCATCTTAGTGAGAAAATTAAGGATGCTCTTTTGGGTTGAGTTTTAAGATTTATGGCCATAGAAGAGGACTGATTTTTTTTTTTTTTTTTTTTTTTTTTTTTTTTTTTTACCAGGGATTGAACTTGGGTCCTTGTGTTTGCGAGGCCAGTACCAGAACTGAGCTAAATCCCTGGCCTGAGGCCTGATGTTTTGGGGGAGGTGTTGTACATTTTCCATTTATTCATTCTAGGGAGGAAAACGGGTTACATTTTGAAGAAAAGAAAGTAACCTCTAAAACTTTCATATCAAATGAAAACTTTATAAAAAGGAACACCAGTAACATAACTGTATAATTTTTCAGTAAAAATAATTTTATTTAAAAATACCTAATCTCAGCCAGGCACAGTGGTACATACCTGTAAGTTTAGCTACTTGGGAGACTAAGGAAAGAGGAACACACACTCCAGGCCAGCCTGGGAAACTTAGTGAGACCATGTCTCAAAGTTAAAAAGGGCTGGGCCAGGGATTTAGCTCAGTGGTTCCACCGCCTGCCTCACAAGCACAAGGACCCGAGTTCGATCCCTGGGACCAAAA